AATCGCTCGCGCGGCTGCGTTCTGGACTAACTGAAGTCTTCGAACACTCTTCAAGGGCAGCCCCATGTAGAGCGCACGTAAAGCACGACTTGGTGTGTGAAAACATTAAATTGCTACCCAAAAGAGCGATCGAACAATCTTCACGGTTAGATAAAAGGGTGGTGAGAAGATTAAAGTCGGCTCGAGTGTGTCTATGGGGAGGGGTTCTCCATCATCCAGGTCATGGTTCCCCCAAAGGTGCTTTTTCAAAAGGCAAACTGGATTTTTGTTCTTTCTTGGAATACCTCTTGCTTCTCATCCAAGAAGCTTCTTCAGTTCGGACTTCAGAAGTCAAAACGAAAGCAGTTCCTCGGATGAGAAGCAAAACATCTCCAAGAAGGAAAACAATAAACTCCAGTTGCCTTTTGAAAAAGCACCTTTGGTTTCACTCAAGTTTATTTTGCCGAAAACAGAATTTTGTTGTTAGGTCTCCTTCCTGTGAAGAGAATCTGGATTCTTTATATCTCTCTTTCCTTATTTTGCTTCACCAACAGAAAATGCACCTGCAGGTGAAAAAGGCTTTGGTAGAAATTCTCAAACTCCTGCTAAATCTCCAGAAAGGTAAATGTTGCACAATTCGTGCTTTTCTTGGTTTGTTTTTTTTAAATTGGGAACAATTCAATAATTGCTTTTTTTTTTTCCCCCTTCCCTTTTTTTTTGGACAGAAAATCATTCCAAGAAGGAAGAGTGTGAGAAAGATTTAGAAACCTTTAGAATTCTGGTAACTCTGCAGGTGAGACTAATGTGGCATTGGAAAACCCCTAGCAATAATATAAGTAAAGATATTCAATATATTATGCTCCATATAATTATCGCAGCCAGAATCTCATTTGCCCAAAATTGGAAACAAAAAAACCCCATTCCCTCAAGTGCAGATATCATTAAAAAAAGGTGATAGAATACGCGGAAATGGACAAATTAATGATGGAAGTAAGAGAGGAAACGGAGTACTTTAAGACATGGAATAGGTGGTATAATTGGCTTGAAAAGAGATGTAAAATCAATGCATAAGGAACACATAGAAAATTCTAATAAAAGGAAATGGTATATATTCAGAAAGTAATAGGGATGTAAATATTGTGTGTGTGTATGTATGTATGTGTGATATATATATGTATGTGTGTGCATGTATGTATAGATAGATACATACATACATAGATACGTAAATAGATAGATAGATAGATAGATAGATAGATAATAGAGAAGATAGATATAGATATATAGATAGATACATATATACATACATACATAGATAATAGAGAAGATATTGATTGATAGATAGATAGATAGATAGATAGATAGATAGATAGATAGATAGATAGATAGTAGAGAAGATAGATATAGATATAGATAGATATAGATAGATACATACATAGATAATAGAGAAGATAGATAGATAGATAGATGATAGATAGATAGATAGATAGATAATAGAGAAGATAGA